CGGAGGTTTAACGCCGAGAACACCTCCAAACGTCTTTGTAGGTCTTCGAGGAGTAAATCGGTCGAGGATCGTTAGAAGGTCGATTCGAGGTGTGAGAGCACCACCAAGTATTACGTATCGACTCATTAATTTAATGATTATGTCTTCGCCTACAAAAAATTTTATATGCCACAATATAGGTTGCATATTATTATTATTATTATTATTATTATTATTATTATTATTATTATTATTAAAAAGTGACTTGAAGATAGGAATCCGTTGACCACAAGATTGCAAGTAATTGCTCAAGAAAAAGTTATGGTTATATTTTATCCTTAAAAGAGATACAGACATTACTTTTGAAGTCCCCTTTATGCCAAGAAATGCCGCCCCAAATGCGCTGCTCCACACAAGTATTGAAAGAGTTGGAGTTGTTCACACTCAATGCTTATGTATTTTTATCCCAAGGGTTTATTAGTTATTACAGCACTCAGCCAATATTAATGTTGTATACAGGCTATTGTTTACACGTTTTACAAAAATGCATCCTCATTTTACCTGTTATTTATTCGTTGGTTTCTTTGAGATTAGATCTCAGGGCCGATCCTTATAAATGGTGGAATTTCAAACAATTAATAAATACTTGCTGCTACCATAAGCCGATCATCAATTTCCTAAATTCATTCTGGCTGACCGTATAAGGGGGAGATTCGATCTATACGCAACTGTTGTGCAATATATGTATATGTTGATGATTCAACGGTGAAAAACCTACAGTTGTGCATAAGGTGAAATAAGGGCTCCACATGTTCTCTTGTTAGAATATTACTTGTGAGTTGTCCCACATCGTTCATACATGGAAAATAGACCCACCTTATAAGTCTAATGGACTCGCTTATGGTGTGCTTCATGTTATTGGGACCGCAACCATTTTTCCCCCGTTTCTTTAACTCTTATGTGCTAATCCCAAGTTTCCCTGCAAGAAAGACTCCAAAAAAAGAAGCAAAAAACATGGCCTACAAATTCCATGTTCAACCTAAGCAAAAGTAAAACATTTTCCTTTTTCTATATACATCCACTTGCGAGCTCGCTTTCATCTCCAATACACAACTATCCTCATATAAACATAGGTTATTATTGGTCTGTTTCATGTTCCAATATGGCAACGGATCATACGGAAGCATGGTCACCATGAACTAACCCCGACAAGAATTAACGACATGACATGAGCACGATTATAAACTCCAAACATAAGTAGCTCATCTGTTATCGAATGTCATGCAATTAGGTGTGCTGCCCGCCTACTTGATGATATATGTATCCCTAAATCTGAATCTACAGTTTCAAATCCTAATTTCACAAGTTAATGTTTAGGTACCAATCCATGAGATGTGATGAAGAACAACACACTACAAGCAGTGTCGTAAAGCATGCCCGTCTCACTCACACAACACACGGTCTGATGACTGTTGAAACAAAGGATATGAAATCATATCTAATTAGCTATAATATAATCACGCTCGTTGAACATTAAGATAATATGTAACATATAAAAAAGAATGCAAAAAATAATTTGTTTTATTTCCTACAAGAGTAAAAAGAATAATCACTCACTTTACATATGCTAATGCTTTGGGCAACTTAGAAGGTAACGATTGTAATAAGATTAGAGTTGGAAATGAAATGGTATACATATGTTAAGCATGGATATTCTTGTTTATCGACAAAATCCAAATCGCAACAATTATCTCCTTTGAATTGGCATATTATGGTATCTACCTACTAACATTAGAGATACCTTCAGTGTTCCATTTATGAGCTGCCTGTGGGCCCTGAATTTTGTCTTCTCGGAACGAACTGGATGATTCTCGATAAATTCGGCGATCCTATATTTAGAATAGCCCTTTTAGTAACAGGAAAGATGGTGAATTATGTACTAAGACTACATTTAATTTATCCTTTTTCATTTAATAAAAAAGGAAGTTAATAATTTGACAAACAATTTGTATTTGCCCAATAAATATATCTCACAGGGTATGTCTAGACAAACTTTAGATAAACACATGTGGGCTTCATTTAGCTTTAACTATAATTTGTTTTTCTTTTTCATAATTAATAAATCTGAGCTCAAGCGGATGATTTGTAATTAACATTAGAAACTTAAGGTAATCAAGGCAGGGTGAATAAATATTCATAGTTTCATACATACATCGCGAGATAGCAAGTCCTCAGACTCCAGCATGTGTATTATGTGACCCATTTTCGGCCTCTTTTGAGCGTCCGGATCAACACATCGTAGGGCTACCAGAATAAGACGTTTCAATGCTTTCGAAGCAGGTCTTTCAGGTAACTTAGGATCTATCACCTCCTCTGTTTGCCGGTTCCCAACCATCATCTTCAGCCAATCAACTAGATTAACCTGCAATTAATAGTTTCCGATCATCAGTGATTGCACAAATATCAAGAATTTGCAGTTATTGAATGAAAATAGGATTAGTTGCAAATAATAAAGTTGAAGTTCAGTCCAATTATAGTTAATATATTTGTTGGCATTCACTCTTGAGGAATTTTTCGAGCAAATAAAGATGTCAAGTGGGTGTTACAAACGACAAATTTAAGGGCTAATTTTAGCAATTTATCCTTTAAACTAACCTCTGGTTGTGGCCGGCTATAATCAACAGGACATCTTCCAGTAATTATCTCCATAATCAATATTCCGAAGCTATATATGTCGCTCTTCTCGTTCAGCATACCCGTGGAAGCATATTCTGGAGCAACATATCTAGCAGAAGGATGAACATTGTCAAGCCTAGCATCCACTTCATGCACCCTACTTTAACTAGAAGTAAAACACAAAAGAGAAAAACTTTAATAGCAACAACTAACTAACCCAAAAGTACCCATCACTCGAGTAGTCACGTACGAGTTCTCTGAATTCAAAAGTTTAGCGAGCCCAAAATCAGACAACTTAGGTTGCCATTGACGGTCAAGGAGTATGTTGCTGGACTTGATGTCTCGGTGAACAACCTTTGGTTCGAGACCTTCATGTAGATACGCTAGGCTGCCACAAAACGAGCTCAAGTAGTAAGTGACTAGGCAAAAACTATGTCTTATGTTACAAGTAAGCACAGTAAATTGGGGTCACCATACCCCTTTGCAGTTCCAAGAATTATATTCATACGGATCTCCCAGGTCAAAGGACTGACATCGCCTACATCACCATGAAGCCACTGGTCTAAATTTCCGTTATCCACATATTCATAGACTAGCATCCTATGTTTTAAGAAATTGAGAAAGGTAGTTAATTTTTTTATGCTCAAGCGTAACGTTTATGTTACCATAAAAAGTATATACAAATACCTGTAAGCTCCTTCAACACAGTAGCCGAGCAACCTTACAAGATTCTTGTGTCTAACACGTCCAATTGCTTCCACCTCCACTTTGAACTCTTTTTCAGCTTGACCCCTGAGAATTTTAATTAGTATACACTTAGGTGTAATGGCAAAATACATAATGCATTTACATTTGAACAATTGAATCTTTTATAATTTTGGTCAGAAAAAAAGTTCAAAGTTTCTTCAGTGAGATAACAGAAAACCAGAGAAAAAAAAAAAA